TAAAGGGCTGGGAAAAGGTTTATCAAGCAAATGGACCTAAGAAACAAGTAGGCGTGGCCATACTAATTTCTAACAAATCTGACTTCAAACTAAAATCAATCAGAAGAGATAGAGATGGTCATTTTATACTCATAACAAGAACAATTCATCAGGATGAAGTCTCAATCCTGAATATCTATGTCCCTAATATAAAAGCACCCAATTATGAAAAAGAAATATTACTAGAACTCAAGACAGACATCAAACCACACACACTAATAGTAGGAGACTTCAACACACCTCTCTCACCAATGGACAGGTCAATCAGACAGAAACCTAATAGAGAAATAAGAGAATTAATGGAGGTAATTAATCAAATGGACTTAACAGACATCTATAGAAAATTCCACCCAAATAGGAAAGAATATACCTTCTTCTCTGCAGCTTATGGAACCTTCTCGAAAATCGACCACATAGTCGGTAACAAAGCAAACATCCACAGTTACAAAAAAATTGGAGTAACCACCTGTGTCTTATCGGATCACCATGGAGTAAAGTTAGAATTTAACAAAAATACCACCTCTGAAAGCGTACAAACTCATGGAAACTGAACAGTCAACTACTGATCCATCCCTGGGTCAAGGAAGAAATAAAGAAATTAAAGTCTTCCTTGAAATCAACGAAAAGGAAGACACATCATACCCAAACCTGTGGGACTCTTTCGAAGCAGTGCTAAGAGGAAAGTTCATAGCACTAAGTGCCCACATAAAGAAAATGGAGAAAGCTCACATTAGAGACCTAACAGAACACCTGAAATCTCTAGAAAAAACAGAATCAGACTCAACCAGGAGGAATAGAAGACTGGAAATAATCAAACTGAGGGCTGAAATCAACAAAATAGAAACACAGTAAACAATCCAACGAATCAATGAAGCAAAGAGCTGGTTCTTTGACAAAATTAACAAGATTGACAAACCCCTATCCAAACTAATCAAAAGGCAGGAGAGAACATGCAAATTAACAAGATCAGAAATAAAAAGGGGTCATAATAAGAGACACTGAAGAAATTTAGAGATTCATTATGTCTTACTACAAAAGTATGTGCTCCATAAAATTGGAAAATGTAAAAGAAATGGACAATATTTTAGATAGATACCATATACCAAAATTAAATCAAGACCAGGTGAGCAATTTAAATGGACCTATAAGTCATGAGAAAATAGAAGCTGTCATCAAAAACCTCCCAACCAAATAAAGCCCAGGGCCAGATGCTTCTGGTGCAGAATTCTACGAGAACTTCTAAGGAGAGCTAATACTGATACTCTTTAATGTGTTCCACATAATAGAAACAAACTCTTTTAATTAAGCTACAGTTATGCCGATACTAAAAGCACACAGAGACTTGACCAAGAAAGATAATTACAGACCAGTCTCACTCATGAACATCGACGCAAAAATTCTCAATAAAATACTGGCAAACCGAATTCAAGAACACATCAAAAAAATCATCCATCATGATCAAGTAGGCTTCATTCCAGAGATGCAGGGCTGGTTCAACATATGAAAATCAATCACTATAATCCATCATATAAATAAACTGAAAAAAATATGATCATTTCACTGGATGCAGAACAAGTATTTGACAAAATTCAACACCCCTTCATGATAAAGGTCTTGGAGAGATTAGGGATACAAGGGTCATATCTAAATATAATAAAAACAATATACAGCAAGCCGACAGCTAACATCAAATTAAATGAAGAGAAACTCAAAGCGATTCCACTAAAATCAGAAACAATACAAGGCTTTCCACTCTTTCCATATTTCTTCACCCTAGTTCTTGAAGTTTTAGCAATAAGACAACATAAGGAAATCAAGGGGATTCAAATTAGAAACAAAGAAGTTAAACTTTCATTATTTGCAGATGATATGATAATGTATATAAGTTACCCCAAAAACTCTACCAGAGAACTCCTATTCTTTCAGTAAAGTGGCAGGATACAATAGCAATTCAAAAAAAAATCAGTAGCCCTTGTATACACAAAGGATAAAGAAACTGAGAAGGAAATAAGAGAAACATCACCTTTCACAATAGCCACAAATCACATAAAATATCTTGATTTAACACTAACAAAGGACGTGAAAGACTATCTGACAAGAACTTTAAGTTTTGAAGAAAGAAATTGAAGAAGATATCAGAAAATGGAAAGATCTTCCATGCTCTTGGATAGGAAGGATCAACATAGTAAAAATGGCAATCTTACTGAAGGCAGTCTATAGATTCAATGTAATTCCCTTTAAAATCCCAACATGATTCTTCACAGACCTTGAAAGTGTGATACTCAGCTTCATATGGAAAATCAAGAAACCCATAATGGCCAAAACAATCCTATACAATAAAGGAACTGCCATACGCATTACCATCCCTGACATCAAGCTCTATTACAGAGCTACAGTAATCAAAACAGCTTGGCATAAAAATAGAGACGTTGACCAATGGAATCAAACTGAAGAGCCGGATATTAATTCACACACTGATGAACACCTGATTTTTGACAAAGAAGGAAGAAAGATACAATGGAAAGCATCTTCAAAAAATGGTGCTGGCATAACTGGATGTCAGCACGCAGAAGAATGAAAATGGATCCGTACCTATCACCATGCACAAAACTCAAGTCCAAATGTATTAAAGACCTCACTATAAATCTGACCACACTGCACCTGATAGAGGAGAAAGTGGGAAGTAACCTTCAATGCATGGGCACAGGACACTGCTTCCTAAATATAACCCCAGTAGCACAGACAGTAAGAGCATCAATAAATAAATGGGACCTCCTGAAACTGAGAAGCTTCTGTAAAGCAAAGGACACTGTCATTAAGACAAAAAGGCAACCTACTGACTGGGAGAAGATCTTCATCAACCCCGCAACAGACAAAGGTCTGATTTCCAAAATATATAAAGAAATCAATACATTAGACATTATAATTCTAAATAACCCAATTAAAAAAATGGTGTACTGAACTAAACAGAGAATTCTCAACAGAAGAATTTCAAATTGCCAAAAGATACTTAAGGACATGTTCAACTTCCTTGTCTATCAGGGAAATGCAAATCAAAACAACTTTGAGATACCATCTTACACCTGTCAGAATGGCTAAGATTAAAACTACTAATGATAGCTTATGCTGGAGAGGTTGTGGAGCAAGGGAAACACTCATCCATTGCTGGTGGGAATGCAAACTTGTGCAACTACTTTGGATATGAGTGTGGCAGTTTCTCAGAAAACTGCAAATCAACCTGCCTCAGTATCCAGCAATTCCACTCTTGGGAATATACCCAAAAGATGCTTAATCATTCTACAAGAGCATTTGTTCAACTATGTTCATAGCAGCATTACTTGTAATAGCCAAAACCTGGAAACAACTTAGATGCCTCTCAACTGAAGAATGGATAAAGAAAGTGTGGCACTTCTACAAAGTAGAGTCCACTCAGTGGCAAAAAATAATGACATCTTGAATTTTGCATGCAAATGTACGGAATTAGAAAACAATATCTTGAGTGAGGTAATCCAGACCCAAAAAACCGAATATGGTATATACCCACTCATAAGTGGATACTAGTCATAAACAAATGGCAATGAGCCTATAGTTCAGGATCCTAGAGAAACTAAGTAATAAGGTGAACCCAAAGAAAAGCATATATCGACCCACCTGGAAATTGGAATAATACAAAATTTGGGAGCAGAGGTGCAGGGGGTAGAAGGGAGGGGAGAAAGGGGGTTGAGGAGAACTTGAGGGAATGGGATGGTTGAGATGGAGGAAGGACAGATATGAGAACAAGGAAAGAGATATATTGATTGAGGGAGCCATTATGGAGTTAGCAAGAAACCTGGCTCTAGAAAAGTTCCCAAGAACCTATAGGGATGACCCCAGCTAAGACTCTAAGCAATAGAGGAGAGGGTGTCTGAACTGACCTTACCTTGTAGTCAGACTGGTGATTAACTTAAATATCACCACAGAGCCTTCGTCCAACAACAGTTGGGAACAGAGGCAAAGACCCACATCAGAACACTGGACTGAGATCCCAAGATTCAGTTGAAGAGTGGAAGGAGTGAGAGTATGAGCAAGGAATTCAGGACCCTGAGGGGGTCATCCACTGAGACAGATTGCTTGAGGTTAAGGGAGCTCATGAACTCCAACTAGACTGGGAGTGAATGAGCATGGGAACAACCCCCTTCTGAGGGGGTTGACAGCTGGGCAGCCTGAGGGGCCACTGATAGTGACACTGAGATATGTCTCTACTGTATATAACATCTTCATGGGATCCTATTCTCTTTGGATGTAAACCTTGCTCAACCTAGATGTAGTAGGGAAGGCCTTGGACTTTCCAAAGGGCGGGTTGCATGGTACTCCCTAGGGTTAGAGGGGTGGGGCAAGGGTCTGTGGAGGGAGAGGGAGGAGACTGGGAAGAGGGGAAGGAGTGGGAATTTGTGTTGGTATTTTTTAAGTAATAATAAAAAAAGAAACAAGAAAAAATATTTTTGAAGAATAATAAAAAAAATTTTAAAAAATTAAAAGGCTAATATTCACAGTATTTACCTCCAAGTTCCAAAGAAAATGTGAGAAATATGAGGCAAAATAAAAGAAAATTTTAATTCTAGAAACAAACCCAGAGTAACATTGGTTACAAATACATTCAGATGACTGAAAATGTGTTCATGATATTTGTATGCCAGGAAATATAATAAAGGATTGAGACTGTTCAGAGGAGACACTCTGGCTTCTTCTGCCTTTTCTCTTCCAGGTGAACTTGTAGATGTTGCTTTTGACCCTATTTCACCTCAACCTCAGCTAACATTTCCTGACTCACTCCTGCCACACCCAGTAACTGTTACCTAACTCCTCAAGTTGCCTGGGTAACCAGCAGGGCTGGGAGCCTGAAGAAGCCCTTTGTCCACTGCCAGTGTCTCCCATGCCAGGCAGTGATCACAACTGAGGGTTTTAGCCTAGCTTCATCCAGGATGTTATCTCTGAGCTGGGGCATGAGGCTGGTAGAAACACCAGCGATCCCCAGGGCCCCACTCTTGCTGGTTGCACTTTGGGTGTTGGTCCTGGCTCCCAGCCAGTGTTTTCAAGGCCCTCCCACCTGGCGTTACATCTCATCGGAGGTGGTCATTCCTCGGAAGCAGATCTACCATGGTAAGGGATTTCAAGCACCAGGACGGCTCTCCTACAGCTTGCGTTTTAGGGGCCAGAGACATATCATCCACCTGCGAAGAAAGACACTTATTTGGCCCAGACACTTGCTGCTGACAACTCAAGATGACCAAGGAGCTTTACAGATGGATTACCCTTATTTTCCTGTAGATTGTTACTATATTGGCTACCTGGAGGGGATCCCTCAATCGATGGTCACTTTGGATACTTGCTATGGGGGCCTGGATGGGGTCATGATGTTGGATGACCTTGCCTATGAAATCAAACCCCTCAATGATTCACACAGGTTTGAGCACCTTATTTCACAGATAGTAGCTGATTCTGCTGCAGTGGGATCTATGAACCAATGGAAGCACTTGGACCAGAGCACAGGCCCCTCTTTATCTAGACCAAATTCCAATGTGGCTCCCAGAATGTCTAGTAGAGACTACGCTTCACATCCAGCTGCTATTAAAGGTCATATGTTAGCAACCTACCAGGTACATTTTGTAACCAAAAATGTTACAAGGACTACCCATTATTTGTTTTCACTAGCCAGTTTAATGGACAGCTATCTAAAGAACATTCATTTGCGGTACTATGTTTTTCTCTTTACTGTGTTTAACTACAAGGATCCAGTTGAGAGCATTGGAAAGTTCTCAATAGGATGTGGTGCGTTTTACAAACACTATCTGGACAATTTTTATATGACGTTTAGGCCTGATGATGCAAACATCATTAATCAATTTGGGCCATCTGACGAAAATGGAGCTCCAGCAATGCGTTCTGTATGTACTCCAAAAGGTTTAAGCTGTATTGGTAAAAATGATCGATACTATGTATTTGTGTCTGTTGTGTTAAGCAATCGTGTTGGGAGGAAACTGGGTCTCAATTTTGATAATGAGACTTACTGTTATTGTCAGAGAAGGGCCACCTGCATTATGTTCAAGAGTCCTCTGCTAACTGATACTTTCAGCAATTGTTCCCTTGCAGAGCTAAACCAAATACTCAGTACCCCCGGTGAGATGCCTTGCCTTTTCTATGACTATCATACTTATTATAATAGAACAATATCCTATGATTTTTGTGGAAACTACGAAATAGATAAAGGTGAGCAATGTGACTGTGGCTCATTTAAAGAATGTTATGCAAATTCCTGCTGTAAGCCAAACTGCAGATTCACACCAGGTAGCATTTGTGATAAAGAATCATGCTGTGTAAACTGCACATACAGTCCTTCTGGGACACTTTGCAGAAGTATCCAGAACATATGTGATCTTCCCGAGTACTGTAATGGGAGTATACTCACTTGCCCAACAGACTTTTATCTGCAAGATGGAACACCATGCTCAGAAGAGGGGTATTGCTATAAAGGAAACTGCACCGATCGCAATATACATTGCAAGGAAGTCTTTGGTGTAAGTGCCCGCGCAGGAAGTAAAAGGTGCTATGACATCAATAAGGAAAGCCATAGATTTGGACATTGTTGGAGAAGACAAGAAAGCCTCGTATTCACAGCTTGTGCCGATAAGGATAAGATGTGCGGAAGGTTGCAGTGTACGAATGTCACCTTCCTTCCACACTTGCAGGAACACGTTTCATTCCATCAGTCAGTTATTTCTGGGTTTTCCTGTTTTGGGCTCGATGAGCATCGAGCAACAGAATCAACAGATGTTGGACGTGTGAGATATGGTACTCCCTGTTCCCAAACTAATTTCTGTGATCGAGGGTCTTGCAATGGATCTTTAGGTAAACTGGATTACGACTGCACCCCAGAAAAGTGCAATTTCAGAGGAGTGTGCAATAACCATCGGAACTGCCATTGTCATGTGGGTTGGGACCCTCCAAACTGCATAGGAGATGGACCTGGAGGGAGTGTAGACAGTGGACCCCTTCCACTTAAAATGCGCACGATAAGACAGAGCCAAGAACCAGTGGTATATTTAAGAATAATCTTTGGTCGTATTTATGTCTTCATAGGCTCACTCCTCTTTGGGGTGGCCTTTCGTGTAGCAATGATTAAGATTATCAAGTATGAAGACTTGCAAGCTACTTTATTTCGTGGGCGTGGACATGGGCATACTCCTGGACCCAGTATGCCAAAGTAAAAATGAGTTAGCCTCCTGGATCCTGTAAAATAAAGAGAATGAAAAGAAAATACATATGCCAGTAAAGAGAAATAAAACCTCAATTCCACAGTTCTGAAGAGCCTGGGTCTATTTTTGGGAACACAGGAGGTGTTCAATTCTGATACCACCTGTCTTTGATAGATTGCTGATGCTCACACTGGAATACATCTTTCAAAATTACAAATTGGTGTCTTTTGTAATGTTGGTAAGTTGTTTGGAGCTGCACCTAGCTTGCTCCTTTGTTGGTCAGAGGAGACCTTGAGTCAGGAACCCTCTAGGTCCTGAACTTAGGTCTTTGGGCTAAGGATTAATGGGAGTTGTCTACATCTCTTTTAAGAACGTATCTAGGATGATACTATAAAATGTGGTTCCTGAGCTCTGACCCTTTCCCACTCCTTATCACCATGTTGTCAGTGGTCCTCTCTCCTCCAGCTTGTGGATAGGATTTTCAGTGGCCGAGCTTAGAGGAATGGAGGGAGCAAGGCAGACTTGGGATCCAGGTGAGGAAGTTGTATAGGAGCCCAGAAGCATCATGCCATACGAAGCCAGGGAACTGATGTTTAGAACATCACCATTAACACAGATCCATGACTCACTAAGTGTACTACCCACACCTTTTGGACACAGACTTTCCAGGGCCCCACTGTCAGAACATTGCCGAGAACCCAGTCTGGTGGAAGGGTGATGCTGAGTCTCGGGGAGGAAGGTTCTGAGAGCACAGGGCAGATGCTGGTAGCCATGCCAGAGAAGCAGCAGGTGGCTATTGAAGTCCAGGTGTCAGCCCATCATGAGGAGAATCCCTGATGGGTGAAACTTAGTTAGGCAAGGCCTGGAGACCCAAGTCTCCAGAATGTCTTTTTCTTCTGCTGGGCCTGTACATGTTTGCCGCTGCAGTCATTCTCTGGTATCTGGCATGGTGTGAATGGCCGTGAGGAGATCTCCACTGCCTGCAATATAGTGTGTTTATCTCATGGGAACATCCCATCCTACTGGGCATTTTTGCCAGTGGATTTTAATGAAGATTATTTTCTCTTAATAGGCTGTATTGTCTAGGTGATGATAATGTTAGTTTAAATAGAGTTTAATGATAAAAGATAAAACAAAGAAGTGTTCACATATTTTTTATATATTTTTATTAATTTTTTATTGAGGGGAAAAAAGTTTCTGCCTCCTCCCAGCCTCCCATTTCCCTCCCCCTCCTCCCGCCTTCTCCCCCTGCCCCCACTCCTCTCCCCCTCCCTCTCCTGTCCAAAGAGCAGTCAGGGTTCCCTGCTCTGTGGAAAGTCCAAGGTCTTCCCCCCTCCGTCCATGTCTAGGAAGGTGAACATCCAAACTGGCTAGGCTCCCACAAAGCCAGAACATGAAGTAGGATCAAAACCCTGTGCCATTGTCCTTGGCTTCTCATCAGCCCTCATTGTTCGCCATGTTCAGAGAGAAATTAGAGAATTAATGGAAATAATGAATCAGATGGACTTAATAGACATCTATAGAATATTCCACCCAAATAGGAAAGAATATACCTTCTTCTTTGCAGCTCATGGAACCTTCTCGAAAATTGACCACATACTCGGTAACAAAGCAAACTTCCACAGTTACAAAAAAATATTAGTAACCACCTGTGTCTTATCAGATCACCATGGATTAAAGTTAGAATTCAACAACAATGCTACCCCCAGAAAGCCTACAAACTCATGGAAACTGAACAGTCAACTACTGAACCATACCTGTATTAAGGAAGAAATAAAGAAAAAATTGAAGTCTTCCTTAAATTCAATGAAAATAAAAAAAACAACATACTCAAACTTATGGGACACTATGAAAGCAGTCCTAAGAAGGAAGTTCATAGCACTAAGTGCCCACTTAAAGTGTTCAAATACTTTAAGAAGTTTCCACTGCACTAAATCTTGATACCATCTCTCAAATGCCCATCCATCCATTCCTGCTGTCTCTCCCTGCAATCTCTCCCTCAACACTATCACCTCTTTTCTTCCCCACCTTATCTCCCCTTTCCTGTCCCCTCTCCTCATCCCCAATCTACCCTTAAAATCTATTTCCCCCTCCCTGGGATATCAATATGTCTCCCCTAGTTCCTTCCTCAAAACCTGACCTCTCTTGGTCTACAGATCATATCTTAGTTATCATTTATTTAATGGATAATATCCATGTGTAAGTGAATAGGCACTACATTTACCTTTCTGGGTTTGGGTTATATCACTCAGAATAATTTTTTTCTAGTTACATCCATTTACCTGTAAAAATTATGTTGTCGGGACTGAGGCGGTAGCCGCAGTCATCGGAGAGCGGAGACGCTGGGCACGCTATTGGGCGGGGGTGAGGGTCTGGCCAGTTGTGCCTTGGCGAGACTGCGACTAGTTGTCCAGAATTAGACCCTGACTGTAAACCGGAGAAGCCGGTGGTGCTGCTGGTGTTCTTCGGAGGCAGTTCAAGTTGAATTATTAATTCTACTAAGGTGTTGAACGGCGACCCTCTCTTCCAAGATGTCAAAAACAAACAAATCCAAGTCTGGGTCTCGCTCTTCTGGCTCAAGATCTGCATCCAGATCTGGTCTTGATAGTTTTCCAAGTCTTGGTCCAGAAGCCGATCTGTCTCCCGTTCAAGGAAGTGCAGGCTGAGTTCTAAGTCTCGTTCCAGATTGTTTTCTCCAGCTCATAACAGAGAAATGAATCACCCCCGAGTGTGATCAGAATCGAGATTTCAGTGGTCACAACAGAGGCAATTGGAGGCCATATTATTTCTGTGGGCAAAACCGAGGCTTTTATCTGTGGAGCCAGTATAACTGAGGTGGCTATGGAAACTACCAGTTCAATTGGCAGAACTACCAGCAAGCATACAGTCCTTGTCGAGGCCATTCCAGATGCCGGTCCCCAAAGAGAAGGTCCCCTTCACCATGGTCCAGGAGCCATTCTAGGAACTCTGATAAATCATCCTCTGACAGGTCAAGGTGCTCCTCATCCTCCCGGTCATCCTCCAACCACAGCAGGGTTGAATCGTCTAAGCGCAAGTATACAAAAGAGAAGAAGTCCTAAAGATAGCAGGCCATCTCAGGCAGCCGGTGATAACCAGGGAGATGAGGCCAAGGAGCAGACATTTTCTTGAGGTGCATCTCAAGATATAAAAGGTTCTGAGAGCTCAAAGCCATAGTCAGATGCCATTACCTATAGCACTGATTCTGCATCACGGGCCTCGGCTTCTGATCTGAGCCCCCGGGAGAGAAGCCCAGCTCTCAAAAGCCTCCTCCAGTCTGTGGTGGTTAGGCGAAGGTCACTGTGCCCTAGTCCTGTGCCAAAACCTAGTCCTCCACATTCTAATACGTCCCAAATGGGCTCATCTATGTCAGGTGGTGCTGGATATCAGTCTGGAACACACCAAGGTCAGTTCAACCATGGCTCTGGATCTTTGAGTCCATCTAAAAAGAGCCCTGTGGGTAAGAATTCTCCAGCCACTGGCTCTGCATAGGGTTCATCTCAGAAAGACGAGAGTGCTGCTTCAGGAGGAGCAGCATACACGAAAAGGTACCTGGAAGACCAGAAAAACAGAGAATGGGAAAGACAAGAAAGAAGCAAATACTGATAAAGAGAAGCTAAAAGAGAAAGGGAGCTTCTCTGATGCTGATGTAAAAATGAAATCTGATCCATTTGCTTCCAAGACTGACACTAAGAAGCCCTTCCGAGACAGCCAGTCACCCAAAAGGTAAACTTCGTGATGACTTTGAGAAAAATGATGGCTGACTTCCACAGGAAGGAGATGGATGAACAAGATAAGGACAAAAGTAAGGGAAGGAAGGAACCTGAGTTTGATGATGAGCCCAAATCTATGGCTAAAGTTATAGCCAATGCAAGCAAACACCAGGAGGAAGAGAAGTCAGGCAAGTGGGAGAGCCTGGTGCATGCAGGGAAGGAAAAGCTGAGGAAAGCAAAGGAGCTGGAGGAGGAGCCTTTCACAGAGAGATCTAGAAAGGAGGAGTGTGGAGGGGCCAAGAGAAGTGAAAGTGGACACAGGGGCTTTGTGCCAGAAAAGATTTTTGAGGTAACTGCATACAAGGCGGTCCAGGAGAAAAATTTGTCACCTCCTCCACAGAAGACTTCTGAGGGCCAAGACAAGCTGGGAAACAAAGAAGACTTTTCCTCAGAGAAGTCTTCCTTTTCCATTATGCAGGAGGCTCAGGTCAATGTCTGGACGGACTCCTTTGATGAGGACCTTGCACGACCCAGTGGCTTATTGGCTCAGGAAAGAAAGCTTTGTCAGGATCTAGTCCATAGCAATAAAAAGGAACAGAAATTTTGTTCCATCTTCCAGCACATACAGTCAGCTCAGTCTCAATGTAGCCCCTCAGAATTGTTTGCTCAGCACCTAGTGACGACTGTTCATCATGTTAAAGAACATCACTTTGGATCCTCTGGAATGACATTATTACATGAACGCTTTACTAAATACCATAAAAGAGGAAGTGAACAAGAAGAAGCTAAAAGTAAGAAAAGCCCAGAGATACAAAGGAGGATAGACATTTCCCCCAGTACATTCAGAAAACATGGTTTGACTCATGAAGAAATGAAAAGTCCCTGGGAAACTGGCTATAAGGCTGAAGACAAATACAAAGATGATCCTGTTGATCTTCGCCTTGATATTGAGTGTCGAATAAAAAAACATAAGGAGAGAGATCTTAAGCGAGGTAAATCAAGAGAGTTAGTGGATTCCTGAGACTCTAGCCACTCAAGAGAAAGATCAGCTGAGAAAACAGAGAAAACTCACAAAGGATCAAAGAAGCAGAAGAAGCACCGCAGAGCAAGAGACGGGTCTAGGTCCTCCTCTTCCTCTTCCCAGTCATCTCACTCCTACAAAGCAGAGGAGTATCCCGAGGTAGCAGAGGAGAGGGAGTAGAGCACCACAGGTTTTGACAAATCCAGACTGGGGACCAAAGACTTCGTGGGTCCAAATGGAAGAGGCAGCAGAGCATGGGA